TTCAAAGAGCCACAGTGCTCCCTGCTGGTACAACAGGAGCGCGTCGGCCAGAGAACAGCAACAAAACGACTCCAAACCTCAAACAAGACACAGGAGTCTCCCTCATCCAGCTCCCAGCCACGACAAGAGCACCGGCAACAACAGCTTCCTCCAAGATTGGGTCTGAATCATGGACAGGAAGGGAGACACGAAGAGACGGAGAGAGGAACCTGCATGGCCAGTGGGCACCTTCAATAAAAGACATCTGATATTTCAGAAGCTATAAAAATCAAGATCCTCCCACCGTGGCTGTTTGTCTGAGGGGGACATGGACGGCTACGGGGGGAAGAAATTCAGAGCAGTAATTAATACTCCTAAGTGACTGCTGCTGGATGCAAGGCAGGGACAGGGTTGGCGAGCTGGTGCCGTGGCCCCCAGCATGTTCCACAGTCTTGTGGGTTGGCGTACGAGCAGAGGAGGAAATGGAGAAAGTGCCTTTATTACTCCTTCATTTGTCTCCGGGGGCCTCAGATTCTCTGAATCCAAACATTTCTGATGTTAATCAAACGTTAAAAAAAAAAAAAAGACGTGAAATGCCACAAAAATGTCATCACTCCACCCGTGTCACTAGCCCTTCCAACCCCCTTGTAAACATGCACTCATTTGCATGCGCGCGTGTTAATATGAGCAGGAGCAGCTTGTTTTTAGCCTTTGGGTGGCAGGGTGGTTCCTATAATCCCATCACTGTTGTGAAGACCCCCAGGGGCCCCGCCGAGAGGGGCGACATTTCTGGCATCCTCCGACTCTCGTTGACTCCCAGAGCCAGCAGCTCCAGAGCCAAAACACAGAGCGCCATTAGTCATGTGCTGCTCCGACTTGTAGAGCGGGAGAAGACGGCAGGTGCTCTGAGATTAGGACTCAAACCAGGACCTTAGAGCTCGCAAAGACTAGCATTAAAAATAATTATTCTCAGGTATAACAAACGGTGCTGTTTAAAAGACTACTTTGGTATGCTGACATGCAGTTCTGAAATGCAGGTACGCACTCAGTGTAAACAAAGCACTATTACTGCAGCTGCACCAGTGCATCAAAATTTTCTAATTGCTCCATCTCAAATGGCTTTTCCATGGATGCCTCCATCGTTGACGTATTTTCAGCTACTTCATCTGTTTCTGTGGGAAAGCAAACACATTTTGCTCACAATCTTTTATAAATCAAAGACACGTGAACTATTGATATAAGAAAAGTGTGCAGGTTTTCTTTTTTATCTGGACTTTGCAAAGAGTACCTATAAAAGCAGACACGAGGAACCGAATTTGGAAAGTTTTTGTATGATTGGTTACAAACGTGTGCTTTTACCTTTAAGTTTTAAATCACTTCTTTGAGGTTTAGAGGGGAAACAAGAAAAATGTTTAGATCAAACCCTTTTTTCACCGTATAATTAAAGAAAATATAGCTCGCTAGAGTTTTAAACTAAGATCATCTGATAATGAGAAGTGACATTTCAGTCATTTTTAAGGTTTTAGGCCTTTCGTTCCCACGCTAATCTGATTTAAAAAAAAATTGCAAAGCTTGCACCTAAATTAATTTAAAGCCTGTTCTTTCAGCCGTGTGTTATTTTTATTAGATAAAAACAAAAAAAACAAAAAAAAACATGACTAAAGCTGAGCGCTGACCCCCATACATCTGTCTGTCTTCATCTGACGGCTCTCCTGAAGTGTCACGCAGCCGCCTGGCGCCTGTCCTCGTGTTCACCCTCTGCTGGGGATCCGATCGAGCACCGAGATGCAATTCCAACAATCTGCACTGACAGCGTTCATGTCGTCCCCCCCACTTTTCCCTCCCTCTGTGTGGTTAGATCAGCAGATTCAGTCAAAACGCTCTCGCAGGTCAGAAAAGGTAGAGGAGGAGACAGGCAGGGCTGCAGGCCTCAGACGTGCAGCAGCATATTGTCAGCTACCAACAGGGCCGAAGGGACGTCTCTACCAGGACATGGGAAGCCCCACAGCATTATCAGTGACCCCCACCTCTCTCCTACTGTACATTTCTTTCCTAATTTGACCCCCAGATTTCTGTATCACAATCGGCACGAGGAAACTCCCACAGGCTACAGTTAGGGATCGTTGTCCTCAGCCCGCCTGGGTGCAGACAGGATGTGGCAGCTTGGAGGCATTCAGTTAAAGGAGATGCATTTTATCGCTGCAGGCGTGCGTTTAAGGAAGCCTCGCTGGAGTAAAAGTGGATGACGAGCCCAGAAACAAACGGGAAATAAAAGAGAGAATTAGCCTTACCTTGTTTCATGGCATCTAATCATTTCTGATAGTCTGTGTACTCATTATTATAATTTGTTTTCTGGGACAGCTTTTTATCTTCGTTTTTTTTTCCCTAATAAATTAGGTTTAAAAATATCAGCTGTTCTTTTCTATCAAGTGAAAAGAAGCGTTCTGGGCAACGCAATAAACATCAATAAAACAAGTTCACATGATGCCCAAAATAAGTAAAGACATTTAACATTTAGCTACAGTACAACCCGTGTACTTGTCTGAATAGGATCATTAATCTACAGTAATGTGCAAAAAAAAAACAAAAAAACAAGACACTAAAAAAGTCAGCATGTCCTAAAATATGAAAGGACAAGGATATCTTTAGTAATATAAACTAAAAAAAAACTGCTCTAATTATGAACTAAGTTATCCTATTACTATTTAAATACACTTAAAGTGCCTAAAACAGTACAAACAAGCTTGATTATTACTTTTAGCCAACAGGTAACCTGGTTAGTTTCAATTATTTCTGTTTATTAGAGGTTAATTTCCTCTGTGAATCCTTTATATCAACTAATTTTGTGGATAAAATAATGGGACACGGTCTAAAGTCTTCTCATCCAGGTCTGCTGGGAGGGAAAGCAGAGCTTGTAGTACAACACGCCACTTCCTGTCACTTCACATATAAACTCATGGGGACGAACTCACACGTCCACCTGGACAGTCAGGAGCCTGGTTTTGACTGACAGGTGACATTTCATTACGGGGGAGTCATAGGAGCACGGCACCGATCCAATCAGACACGCACACTGTCACAAGAAACAGAAGCAGACGAGCTTACAGGACAGCAGCGCTGCAGAATGAAACTTCAGTGGAACTAGTGATGAGTCTGTAACTGCTCCCTGTGACGATAAGCATGAACGTATGGAGTAAGAAGACTGGGAGTCGTGTTTCAAACTCGTTCACGTAGCTAGTATATTCAATTTAAAAAGCATATTACTGAGGTGCAGCCGAGTTTGTGTTTGCTTTTATTAAATCCTGACCAAAGTAGTAGGTTTATTTTATTTTATTATTTCGGCTGCTCCCTTCATCAGGGGTCAGCACAGCAAAGTTGCACAAAGACTTGGCAATCATTTTATCAAAATAGTAGTATTATAGTTAAATGTGGCTGAACAGACTGGCAAATTAATCTAATTAAAGTTGTTTTATTTTTAATCCTGTCAAACTTTTCAATGAAAATTATTCAGTACCGGCTACTCAACAGGTATGGTGTGTATAAGGTATTGGGAATTTACCTGGTGCAACTGGTACTTATTTGGTATGTACTTGTTACTTGTAATGAAACTGGTACTGTAAGTTTTTGGCCCTTAGCAGGTACCTGTTATTTACCTTGTACATACATGGTGCTTATTCGTTCAACCTTTATTTATACAGGTTAATCCCATTGAGCCTTGGGGACTCATTTACAAGAGAGACCAGAATTTTTACAAAGCGTGATGACAACAGTGGACAACAAAGACAACAAGCATAAAGGATGCGTACATATTCTTATTTTATTTTAACAAATGAAAATAAAATGGTAATTTAAAGGATAATTAAAAGGAAAAGTAGCAATAAAAACAACTAGGTTGTAAGGTAGTAGGACTACTGTTCCCATAATACCTTTCAGCACAGTATGTTTGTAATGTATGTGTTCCCGAGGGGGAAATAATGTATAACGAGGACACCGGACGCCATGTGCTGTAGTTCCAAACATATCTTTATTTTCCCCCCGGGAACACAGTACAAACATACTTTGCTGAAAGGCATTATGGGAACAGTAGTACTACACATATCTGGTACATAACTAGTATTTACCTGGTACTTACTGGATATGAACTTGGTACTTACCTCGACTGGATCTGGTCCTTATTTGATAGTTCCTGTTCTTGTACCTGTCTGGTAGTTATCAAGTACATATCTGGTACTTACATATTATGGGGAGTGGTGGCGCAGAGTGGTGGCACCCTCATTCACCCCACTCTGGGCCCATGAGCAAGGCCCTTAACCCCCATCTGCTCCCTAAACAGGGACAACGAGTTCTCGAGTCTCAATGAGACTACCTGGATAAATAAAGGATCAATGAAAATAATTTAAAAAGCACTGTGAACTTACTTTGGAACAAACTTAGAACTTATGTTTACACAGTACTTCCCCCTAATTATTGGGTGCATACCTGGTATGTATCTCACTTACCTAATGTGTAACAGGTGGACTGGATTATGGCGTGGTTAGTTACACTGGTCAAGTACTAACCGGTACGTGGGTCAGTACCAGTTACAGACCAGGTAGGCACCAGGTATGTATACATTGTACCAGGTGTGTATCTGTTGAGTACCAGTCTGCACAATACATTGCTTCCACTAATAAAGGCAATTTTTGTTAAAAAAATAAAATAATAAAAAATCTGTCATCTTTAGGAAAAAGGTGGCAATTTATTTAATCCCTTATTTTCACTATATTAACAACAACTTAAAATATATATATATATAATTAAATTGGCTGTTTTCAGGTTTCAACCGTAGTTTTATTTTTTTTTTTTTAATGAAAATAATGGTTAATAAATATTTTATTTTATTTTAACCAAAACCAATTCACTGACGCAAGCTAATGAAAGCAAGTAGGTTTTCATTGGTTGTCTTTAGAGTCAGTCAACTTTTGGTAGGCGGGACTTGAGAATTTCATCCAATCACGTCCGTCGCTTGCTAAGCCGCTCCTCAGCATACGGAAAACATGGCGTTACGGGAGCTAGCATCGCTGGAGAAGTACTTGGGCCTGAAAAAGCCGAACAAATACAGCACACAGGGAAATAAAAAGGTATTATGACGCTCTATCATTGCCTCGTCCGTTCGGATAACAAAATAACCTTAGTTTAAAAGAAAAACCTTGTAAGTAGCTGTAACAAGTGCACGGTGGCTATGAATCAAAGCTAACAAGCTAAGCATGTGGATTGCTTTCGTTTTGTGTTTTCCGCTTTGTGTATTTAAAACCGACTTAGTCAAGCTTATTCAGACTTAAACATTTAATGACAGTCTCTTATTTGTATAAACGGGGACTAGTAAAGAGCAGTGTTCATGCTTTGAAGGGTAGGCGTTAAAACGCAGTAAAGTGGGTTTGCTATTTAAAAATTGCAGGCAAAATAGTAATAAATTAGTTTAATGCATGCCTTAAGCAGGCCGATTTTAGGGTGATGGCATGAAAAGAGCCGTTATTGTGCTTGTGGGGAACACATAATCTGGAGAAGTTTTTGTTGTCCAACCTGCTTTATTGTATGTATGACATTCAGTCCTTCAGATCTGAACAGATGTTTCTCCTGAGTGTTGATGACTGAGCCCCATCTCCCCCCTGTAGACCCCTGTGCTGCAGAATAACACCTGTCCTCCTCTGGTGGGGCTGGGGACCATCGCCTGTCACCTGGTGAAGGAGTCCAGGCACCCAGAGCTGCTAGGTGACACAGCAGACAGCAGGGCAGTGGTGCAGCAGTGGTTGGAGTACAGGGTGACCAAACTCGATAACTACGCCAAGGAAGACATCAAGTCCATCCTAAAGGTAGAGAGAGAACGATGTCGGGTTAAAGCAGGGGTTCTCAAACTGGGGGGGTGGGGGACACGACCCCCTGGGGGTTAGGGAGTTTGGGTAAAGTATATATAAAGTCTTTATAGCTAAACTTGAGTTATTATAGGATTGCTAAACTGAGTTTAGTCATTGTGTATTAATAAAAGATACATGGAAGACGTCTGTCGGGGGAATGGTGGCGCAGAGGTTAGAGTATGGCAACCCCTCAAATCCACTATAAGACACTTTTACAACGCTTCCTCATGCAAAAAAAAGCCGGATTACGCCGGATTTTATGGCGTAAATCCACTAAAAACGCAGCTTTTTACGCCGTTGGAAGACTACCTTCTAAACGCTGAAAATTACAGCGTTTATTTTGGGCAATGAACGCTGCATTTAACACGTGACCTCGTTATAAACGCCGTAATTTCGCCACAGTTTACGCCGTAAAGGACAGCGTTTTCTTAAGTTTTGCGAGGCCCTCCGCATACTTTTCTTCTCCACTCAGTTTAAACTTCAGTCACCCAATGGGAGAAGTACAATTACAGACCACACTAATCGTGCTGCAGAATACATGAAGTCGGCCAAAAAAGCACAGCTGATCTGTGTTGAATTAGTGTGGTCTGTAATTGATAAAAGTATGGGGAGGGCCTTGCAAAATTTAAGTAAACGCCGTCCTTTGCGGCGTAAATTGCAGCAAAATTACGGCGTTACTTGTGAAAAGCGGCGTTCAATGACCAAAATATATGCCGTAATTTTCGGCGTTTAGAAGGTAGTCTTTCAATGGCGTAAAAAAGTGCTGTTTTGAGTGGATTTACGCTGTATTTTACAGCATGATCTGGCTTTTTTTGCGTGAGGAAGCAAGTGTCTATTAGTGGATTTGAGGGCTTACGATAGACGGCAGGCCTTTGGTCAGAAGGTCACCGATTCAATCCCCTGGACCAAAAACATCAAAATGTGGGTGGGAAAGTTGAAGCACCTGCACCTGCTTCCATCCTCGTTTGTCCCACTCTGAGTCTTTGAGCAAGGCTCTTAACCCCCATGATCTGCTCCGATGGGCGCCCTAGATTGCAGCTCTCTGCTCCACACAGAGGGCTGTGGTTGCATCAGGAAGGGCATCCGCGTACAAATAATTGCCACGTCTTCGTGCGAGTTAGTTGACTGTGGCCACCCGTGAAGAAGGGAGCAGCTGAATGAAGAAAAAACATGGGAGACCTCTGTACTAGATTTAATGCACTCCAAGTCAACCCAGCTGAAGTGAGCTCCACGCCTCCATGCTTGCTTCGTTTCTAAAAGTCCATGTCGGTACGGGATGTGTTTTATGCCAAAAGTTGTCGGGGCGCCTCGATAGTGGTCAGTTTGTGTCTCACCATGACTCTCTGTTCCTGCTGCTTTAGTTCTCGCAGTCAAACACTATATTTCTACAGATTTCATCGTTACACAGGATCATATCAGTACAAGGTTACACATGTGTGCATAAGTGTACAGTGATAAACGTAATGTATTTAATTATCAAGTATGATTTTATTTGTTTACTTATTTACTCGCAGACAGGTTTCTTTCTCCAAAGAGGGGGCTTATCAAATAAAGCTGAAGAACCACTGGCTTTATGCTGAGCTTAGTCTGCAGAGCTAAATGTAACATGTTCACAACATTCCCAGCATTTGATCAGTATCATTCTGAGCCTGTTTAGTTCATTTAAATTTAATTGAGAAGAACAGCAATAAAAAACGCTACCGCTGCAGGTTTGTACAAAGTCTGTCAAGCCAAAGACTGATTTGCAAATCTAATCCTCAGTTTGGATTTTTAAAAGTAAAACCAACAATAAAAGTAGACGTTCCACACAAATAGACACTTATCAAATTCATGCAATAAAAAAGAGGAGAAAAATCCAAAAATATGTAGGGAATAACATATTGTCCAGGCACCTCTGTATACATATTTGCTTTTATTTCCTTTTTTTTTTTTATATGAAAATTAAAACTCTAAAATCGCTTATTCGCTTTATATTTTTCCACTATTTTGGTACTAAATAAACTGTTTTTTAAAATCCTTTTACATATTATCCGTGGAACAAAGACTGCTGACACATTTAGGTGATGATAATAATAAACTGTCAAGGCTTCGTTGTTTCTTGTTTTTTAGTTATTTAAATCTTTCAGAGCTTGTTTGCACGATGATCTCAGGTTTTTATAAACGATTGAAACTGACAGAATCACAGCACGAAGTTACAGCCGGACAACCTCTACTGGCAGACGTAATTTTATAAGTTGAAGGCAGTTTAGATTGGGCCTGTCACGATAACAAATTTTGCTGGGCGATTAATTGTCTCAGAAATTATTGCGATAAACTATAATAATGTTTGAAATTTGACAATAATTAGTAATTATTGTCAATTTTAAGAAGAAATATTGGTTAATTTTTGTGTAGTGCCCTTTCTTGACCACCGGATGGCAGCATAAGACTGTTTGAACCGAAGGATGGATAGTGAGGGAGCGAGCAGCGTGTCTCTTTAAGATAAATGTGAGGGAGGCCCCTTGACGTGACATGGGCTGTCTCTCTTCGGTTCTCAAAATGGCGGATGTTTGGTGAGATTTGAGCTCTTTAGCATTTTTCACACAAAGGTTTTAAAAAACAACAGTAAACAAGTTCTCAGCATCTTTTTCCAGAGAAACACGAAGGCGCGGGTTTCAGCCGTCGATTTTGAAGCTTCGACAAGACGGAGGTTTTTTCTCGAGGTCAACCTGTTAGCTTAGCTCGTAGCTTAGCTGCTTTTAACGATCCAAAAACGTGATTTTGGACGGTTAAAATGGATTTTAAAGAGAAAGGGAGGGTTCAGTGAAGAGCACCGGAGTTGAGCCTTTTATCTTCCAGTGTCTTCAGTAGAAAGAGAGACACGAAGAAACAATAAAGCTGATAAATAAAAACAAGGTTGATAATTTTCATTTATCATGCGATTAATTGATTTATTGTTTATCACGACTGGTTTAGTTTAGATTTCTTTTTAATGGTTTTATAACCTTTCTTATACGAGCCTCAAGTTTAAGACGAGGGTACGAAACAAAACCCACGTCTCAACTCTGTCTTTTAGCATTTGGGGGGATTTCTCAAACTAAATCGCTTCAGAACCACATTCACTGTATTTTCAATCGGTTAAACCCTCCAAGTTGTTTACATTTCTTTGTCCATCACTTTGGTCCGTACATGTGTAAACGTGTTAAGGCACAAGCAACAGGAACACAAGTTGATGTATGACATGGCCCCACGCGACAGAGAAAACGGCTTTAATGTGCCTGACGCCACTCGGCATGAAATGGATCGTCGTCCGCTGGACGCTCGGCGCCTCTTGGCACCGTCCTGTCAGCGTGACGTCCGTGTGTGCGCACTTCAGAGTGACACGCTGTTGTGCCATGGCTGAGGAGTCGTGCTGTTTTGCAGCATGTTATCTGGACAGGCCTCTTAAATATTTTAATGGTGCCACTTACAGAAGGAAGTCGCCCTGAGCGGCTCGGCTCTGGTGCCCGGTGGCCCCCCTGTCCTGTCCTGCTGCTTGAGCTGCGTCCCCAACTCTCCTCTTTCAAGCTCTCCAGTCGTCTCCCATTAAATTATCCAGAAATAAAACCGTGTCAGCTGTGGGAGTTCTTAAACTTTCACCCCCCCTCAGGATGTAGTTAAGAAATTCATACATTTTTCAAGCTGAGACTTGTTTCTAAAGTAAACATTTTGTCACCCGTTTAAGATTATGATCAGTATATCAGACTACTGTCCTTGAGCTAAAAAAAAAAAAAACTGCTGTATTTTGGTTGACTACACTACATCAGTTGTTCTAGTTCTGATTTACCTTCTTCTGCAAATGTTGATGCAGCTGTTGCTGTTTTAATTCAAAAGAAAGCCACAACACTTTGTCTGTACCAAATACTGTATATAATCTATATTAGTGGGTCCCAACCCTGGTCCTTGAGGAACACCATCCTGCATGTTTTAGCTGTTTCCCTGCTTTTCCACACCTGATTTGAATTATTTGGTGATTAACAGGTTTCGGTAGAACTTGAGGAAGTAATTAAGTCACTGAATCAGGTGTGTTGAAGTAGGGACACAGTTAAAACATGAAGGGTGGTGTTCCTCAGGGACCAGTGTTGGGACCCACTTTGTTCTATCGTCTGTTTTTTTGTTTTTTTTTTACTCAAAAAAACTAAACTTTTACAGCATTCACCATAGCAGTTTTCCTGAGGCCATTGACAAGTTAAACGTCAAAAAAGTGTCTGGTTTAAAGAATAATAGCAAAAGTAGATGAATGTCTTTGAAGTGTAACGACTAGAGCCCGACCAATGTGAAAATTTTGGCTATCGCGATACAGATATTGGGAGGGGAAGGCTAATGCCGATAACCGATTTAATGGCTGAAATTTTTTTGCTTTATCCACCCCCAATAATCTTCATAAACAGCTACTTGTAAACCTGTTTTAACACGTTGAAGTCCTGAAACGGTCTTCCTAACCTGCATTCACATTTTCTATCCTGCATTATTCACCATAAAATTATCAAGTGTTACAAAAATATAAATTAAATAAAGAAACGCCCTTCATGTTCATTCTTTAAACAGTCTGGAGTCCTAATGAGTATTGACTGCAACTCTTTTTTTCTTCTTCATCTTCTTCGCAGAGAAGTAAAGATTTCGGACAAACGATGCATTTCATTGAGACGACAAAGATAATGTTATTAACACCGATATAAATTTACCTCTACGTTAGATTTATTGTTCTGGCTAAAGTTTTACAAGGCAAGAGCCTATGCCAGGTTATGTTAGCGCGCTAACTTGAGAGGCACGTAGCTAATGACAAGCGGGTTGGAGGATTGAAGAGAATTAGTTTTTTTTATTTTACAGATCAGTTAAAATGAACTTTTGAATCTGTTCAACAAAATACACTACACAGCATTACTTCCTGCTTTGGCTGTGCTGAAAGTGAAAGTTAACGTGAACGGCCATGACTTGAAAGTAGTTTGCGTGCACCCTCTGCTGGATACATTGTACAATTACACCTTTTGCAACAAGGATGCATCTTGTTCCTAGTGTTTATGTTTATGCATTATGGGACAATTATCAACGATACGATATGTCCCCAAACGCCTATATCGGCCTAAAATATCGGCCCTACCGATATATTGGTCGGGTTCTAATAACGACAACGGAGGATGTTGTTGTTTGCACAAATAACCCCACGGGATTGGTTAACTAAAACTGGCAGCTTATTAAAAAGTGTGGATCTTTAGGCACCTCATTATTTGATTACTATTCAAAGAGCTGCAGTGTTATTCTAAAACACTTACTGATGTGGTTTGTTGGTAATTAACAATTAGCATAGAGGCTAAGTAAACATTGAAAACACCATAGAAAAGCTAACCGATTAGCTTCGTGTTTATAACTGGAAGTCTATAAACAAATCAAAGTTTCAAGTCAATACTAAAGATAGTTACTGATAGTTCTGATGACTTCAACTACTGTTTGCAGATGTATATCCTCCAGGGTTCAGTGAAAGAAAGCTGAAAGAGAAGAGAAACACGGCTTCACTGCAGCATGCTTCTACAGCAGGAAGCTCCGAGTACTCACCGCTTAGTAAGTACTCTGCTGAATCTCAGCAGAGTACAGTCCACCTGAAAAAAAGATTTTACCTCCTACAACTAAACTAATATTTCTTACTTACTACATCTCCTTCCTGTATTCACGATTATTATTGTTTAAAGAGCAAAACATTTGTTGCAAAAGTTAGTTTTTCATATTTGTGAACTTATAAAAAAGTGTTTCATCCGACATGTTCTTCTGTAACTATATTTAATGCCGTATTTTCCGCCGTAAATTACACCGCCCTATGAGTCACATCAGTCCAAGTATGTCTAATAAAGTGGAAAAATTCATAAATAAATCGCATCGATTACGCATCACCACTGACCACCCGGAAATGTGTGTCGGTGTTGTGCCAAAAATCGATTGACTGCCGAATGGTGGCCGCGGGAGCGTGCACGGGAGGACTTTAACAAGAATTTAACAAGATTAACACTTAAAAACAATTATTTGTTTGCTCTAAATTATAGTAAATGTGTGTCTCAGTTGAAGTAGTCCTTATTAAATGCACTTTGACGGTCAAATCAGCTGCATTTTCAAAAGCCGATACGCAGAAGCATGAACGCACAGAGGGCGACTCGCTGTCGATTTCTTCGAAACTTCACAAGATAACCACCTAAAACAATTATTTGTTAGCTCGACTTTATAGTAAAGGTGTGTCTCATGTGAACTTTTACTTAATAAATGCACTTTAATGGTCAAATCAGCTTAATTTCACCAGGGTGGCGCAGCAAAGTCGAGCTGATTTAACGGTTGCTCCAGGCAGACGACGGCATGCCATACTGCTCGAGTGCCATCTAGTGGCTGAAAATGGTAGTGTTCAATATTTTCAGTCGGAATGAATGAAAATGGTCATATCTCAGCCAAAAGTTGGTTTATAATTATGGGAAAAATCCATAAATATGTTGCTTCGACGTATTAGTCGCAGGGCATGTAAATTATGCAAAAAAATGCAACTTATGGGCCGAAAAATACGGTAGTTTGCCTTCTAGTTTAGAGTTTTACGGTGTTTTATTTGACTGCCAGCTGATTGAATGCACAGTTAAGGTAGGGGGTCGGTGGAAAAGAACCCAGGTCTGAGCTCCATGTGTTGTGTGGTGGGAGGTGGGGGGGTTAGTTAGTCGGAGAGCTTCCTCTCTGATGCACGACTGGGCTTTAGCTCCATGGCTGTAGGCAAAGAAAAGCAAGAATCTGATTCTTGAAGGGGAGGAAGTCTGCAGTCTTCATGCCTTGTTTGGCATCACCCACTCTTACCGCACAATAGCTCCATTTGCCCCGAAGATGCGTCCGTGTGTGTGTGTGTGTGGAGCTTTCCATTCGTGCGATGTACAAGTGCTAAAGATGGTCCCCCTCCCCTGGGACCAGCACTTCCATGCACGACTTTGCATGCACAGACGTTGGCCGAGGAACACACAGAAAGCTGCCCAAGTTTGAAACGGCTTCATTAGATTTGCAGCGGGAGCTGAAGTCATTTTGTTTGTGGAGTGAACAAATAGCCTGTTTTGGGCGGCATCTGTGCTAAGTCTGCAGTCATGAGGAGCGACGACAACAACCCCCTCAGGTTACATGTTATTCCCATTCACATCACAGACCTTCATATGCATGCAAGCCAGGATCAAGGCTCGTGTACCTCATGCACCCACAGATATCCAGGTTAATAAACCTGCTGTTGGGTTCCTTTTCTCTCTAATGTCCGTTAGATTAGTGCTGAACTCTGCATCAGATGAAGATGAATGTTTCGTTAAGGAAACTTGTCAAATAGTGTTAGCGCCGCTCTTAAAGGGAGGTCCTTTAGTCATTCGTATAATGACAAGTGTTTACGCTGAAATCTTTACCGTAATGCATAAATGATCACACGTTAGGACGTAATTAACATACTGCTTATGTTGTGAAACTTCCTCTTTCAGGACCTCGACCTCTACCTGCAGGACAAAGTGTTTCTGGCAGGAAACCTCTTCACCCTAGCTGATATTCTTATGTACTACGGACTTCATCCAATCGTAGTAAGTAACTTTAGCGCTTAGCTTAAGTCCTACAGTGTCATTCTAACATGAACTTCAGAGTGGTTTGATGAGTTTAAACTGGGAGCGTTGGGCTGTCATGAACTGCTTGTGTCACCAAAAACTTTCTGTTTAGCTGAATTCCACATTCGTGAGTAAAACTGATTGATTTATTGTGTCTCGGTGCATTTTCATGGCCGTATACCGTGCAGCCATCCTTCCACATCTCTTCTTCTTCCTTTTGATTTCCATTAGCTCTCACTTTAGTCAAACCACAACTCTAATTACCAATTTGTCATCATATATAACACACAATTAGACCAGTCATATGGCCAGAGGCCGTCCAGAACAAGTTGGCAACGAACACACAGATTATAAACTCATTCTGGGTTCTCTTCAAACGCATAAAGCGATGTGGCACAAGTGATGGCTTTAGCCTCAGACCAGGGACAAGCAAGTTTGTTCCGCCTCCCAGGATAAAAGAAAAGTGAGCTCAGACATGAGGAAGGCAGAGTGAGACGGTGGGGAGGGGGAGATCACATGTTGGGCCATGTCAGCGGCCGTGGCAGAGATGGAGGTTTGGCGCTCGCCACCGGCCAGGAGAGCGTCACTTTGACTTACAGTCAGCGTGGTTTTTAACCTCGGAGACAGCGGGTCAGCTCGCCCGACCTTTGACCTCAGCCTAAGCCGATGTTCAATTCTTGATAAACAACTTCACACAAACAGTAAACCTGACCGACGCTGAAAGCCTTTTAGACTGTTTGTCTTTGTGGCACTTCTTTAATTAAAAAAACAAACAATAATGAAAGTTTATTTGTAAATTATTTGTGATTTCTGTTATTTAGGTGTTAGGTACCTGCATTGTACTTAAAAAAAAGGTGAAATATTTTCACTTGACACAGACGCGTCACTAAATAAATATTGGTTAATTAGCTTTTAAACTCTTTGTAATTGATGCTCCTCCCATCATGCTTTGCTTGGAGGTGTGTTTCTGAGATCTGCTGTCTGAGGTGATAAGTTTTTATGTGGAGTCTTCAACAGACGTGAGTTGTGCAGCAGAGGATTATCCTCAGAATCTGAGTAATACATTTTTTTAAATCCTATTTTATCAGCACTATCTGTGTAAATAATTCAAATATAAGGCCTAAATAAGTCATAATCCCCAGATTTACTAGAAATACAATTAAAAGCTTTTGATATGACTTCACAGTTTTGGTTTTAAATTAAATCATCTTTGTGGTTTTCTCAGATTACAGTATTTTCCATCATAAACGTCGCACCGCCCTAAAAGTCGCTTCAGTCCAATCATGTCTCGTAAAGTGGAAAGATCCATAAATATATGGCTTCGCCGTATACGTTGCATCTATTACGCGTCACCGCTGACAGTCAGGAAATGTGGGTCGAACCCAGAAACGTGGGCCGGTGTTGTGCCAAGAATCGATTTGCTGCCAAATGGCGGCAGCAGGAGCGTGCACGGGAGGATTTTAACAAGAATTTAACAAGATTAACACTTAAAAACTATTATTTGTTTGCTCTAAATTAAAGTCTGCTGGATTAAAGTCAAAATTAAATTCATTAAAAGCCACTTTTACCTATTACATGACAAAACGGTGTGCCATACTGCTCGAGTGCCATCTGAAAATGTTCAATATTTTCAGTCAGAATGAATGAAAACGGTCATATCTCTGCCAAAAATTGTTTTATAAATATGAGGGAAAAATCCATAAATGTGTCACTTTGGCGTATAAATCGCGGGGCATGCAAATTACGCAAAAAGCCTGCTACTTATAGGGCGAAAAATACGGTAAATCATCCTTGTGGTTTTGTCGTTAACATCTCAGGACGTGTGCTGGAAACCAGAGGTCGTATGTTGGTGTTTTTGTAGCACTTTCCCTTTTCCAAGCTTCATCTTTAACTTCCAGTCAAACGGTTGAATAAGGGTTGAATAAGTCTTGAACAATAAAACCGCGCTGCACACGATTACATGGAATAATACATTTCGCCGACCACTTACAAATAGTTCACGACTCTGTGTTTTCGTGTGTCGTTCGGTATCGTTAACCTTTCTTCTCCTTTTCTCGCAGGTGGATTTGGCCATCCAGGAGAAGGAGGAGCACACGAATGTCACTCGTTGGTTCGATCACGTGCAGCACTACCCCGGCGCCCGACACCACCTCCCTCCAGTGGTTGTGCTCAGGAACAGAATTTACACCGGCAGACACCACTGATCCTGACGTTAGCCACCCCCCCCCACTTAAAATACTCACCCGTACTTGGTACGACTCTTCTAATCTTCAGGCCAGACCGGGGCTGAGGCTCTCCGAGCGTTTCTTACGTCGGAGTCATGAATTAAGGACGTTTCCACTAAGCCACATCAGTCTTCTCTTATTGATCAGTTGGTCCGCACTAACGATTGTTTAAAAACATCCAGTTCAGTTCAGAGTTTTTAACAAATCTTCAGTCGGGCTAACACTATTTATAAAATTCTGTTGTCTTAACCCGTTTTATTAGTGCGTTGAGACTATGTTTTATGTTTTTGTGGCAATATTTGTCAGCTGGTTTGGAGGAGAGAGCTGTCTGGGTGTGTTGCTGCCAGCCTGGTGAAAAGACGTTTACTGGTTATGATTGTTTGTTTAATCTGAGCCTCGGATGTGACGAGTCGTACAGGCTAGAAAACTCGACTGGGACTCGTTGTTTTTCTCGTAATGTTTTATTCAAGCTTTGCTGGTTGGATGTTATAATCCCACATTGTTCTAACTTTGCAGTTTTATCTCATTAAATCTTTTGACTCAGTTCAGTCCTGTTGGCGTATTTTATGTTAAACCGTAGCTTTTTTTTTCCCCCCGTGTGCATTTCGTTCCCACCCGTTTCCATTTCCTCGCCACCAGTTGTGTGGGCAGCAGCGAGCAGTTGAACGTCAGCCCCAGAGTCAGAGATCAGAGTGAGGCTCCCATCAGTCCCACTACCACCACTGTTGATGCTGCAGGCCACAGAGAGGGCAGCGGGCTCACCAGCTGCCACGCAGATCCAGCCAACCAAGGCCAGAGCCCGGGCCCCTGGGCGACAGTCAGCCACTGTGTGTCATTTCACCCTCGCGCTCCCACAGGGGCGCTGCTGGAGAGAGGAGGACGACGGGAGGCGAAAAAATGAGCGAGGAATGAAGGAGTGGAGGCCACGCAGCGAATGAGCACTCGGAGGTCGAGGGATCTTTTTGTGGCGTGAGAACGATCTGTGGAAGCCCGAGTGCTGCTTCCTGCAGGTTGGCTATTTATAGACTTTTCTATGGAAATGTGAAAAGAACCTGTTTGTTAACGTCAATAAAAAAAAGCACGATAGAGGAAATAACTTGTAATTCTGGTGTAACCGTGCACGTGACGGTTTGATACAGCGAACTAGACGATATATATATATATATATATATATATATATACATACAGTAGTCCCTCGCTACTTCGCGTTTCATTTATCATGGACTCGTTCTAAAGCAGGTTTTTTTTAAATAATTTTGGACATATCACACAACTGTCTGGTTGATGGATGAGCCGCATGATCGGCGTGGGATTTTTATTTAAAATAAATCATTTAGTACCTGTTGCACCTGTGTGCAGCCCTTACTGCTGCAGGATAAACTTCCCGCTGGAGATGATCAGCTGTTGTCCATGCAGAACTGAGAAGTGGGCGTGGCCGAGAGCGCTTGCAGGTTGCAAGGAGCAGACGAGGCAGAGAGCTGAAGTGACATTCTGTGCTCTTTTAGAGTGTTTAGAGTTTATTAGAGTTTAGATATTGCAAGTGTGTGTGAAGGGTTAAAATGCCTTTATATATATATATAAAAAATATATATACTAAAATAAACTACTACATACTACTTGTATTACTATTCCCACCTCGCAGTTTTTAACTTCCCGTGGGGCTTCAGGGTACAGATCGTCTGTGATAAATGAGGGACTACTGTACATGTGTATATATATATATATATATATATATATATATATATATATATATACGGGTGTTTTAAACTCTTCCCACACTCTTGCAAAGTTCTAAACAATGTTTCTAAACGCTCTAAAAGAGCACAGCATGTCATGATTTCAGCTCTCTGCCTCCGGCTGCACTCTGCCAGTGCTCTCGGCCACGCCCACTTCTCCGCTGCAGAGCGGAGATGCGACGCGCTGCAGGAGGAAGCTCCGCCTTCAGCTGTGGGCTACACGCAGGTGCTAAATATTTTAAAATAATTTATTTTGAATAAAAACTCCATGCCGATTGTGCGGCTCATCCATTAATCAGACTATGCGTCGTGTCCAAACTTATTTTGAAAAACCGCGAAAGAGCGAGTCCGTGAAGTAGCGAGGGTCTACTGTAGTCTCGTCTGTCTGTGTTGGGGGGAAGTTGTTTTGATTTTGTTTTTTCTTCCTTCACACCCCATGCTACCTACAGATTAAATTTACAACCCACTTTTTTCCGGTTTTAACAGATGAGGATTAAAACCTTGTTATTCCTGTCCCCTGCCGGCCTTTCAGCCGCGTCTTTTAACTCCTCCCAGCTTCCAGCCTCTGCATATTAACACGGTTGCTTGAAGCCTTTTGGTTTTGTTGACTGATCTGAGCATGATGTTCATCCTGTGCCAATAAATCACAGATATGGAGCCCGTGACCCCTGACTCCTCCGCTGATCGTTTCATGTGCGCGTTCGGTATTCTCTAAGAATTTGTTTTGCGTTAAAAACAAAACCAAGCCAGAAGACAGAGCTGTTGTTGGGCGAAGACGTGCTGGACGACTCGCTGTGTATTTGAAGTGTTGCGAAGTAGATGTGAAGGATAAAAACAGCCCGCGGTCGTTCGAGCGAGCCTTGTGACTTCTTTGGGCCCGTTTCTGCTGCGGTCTGCCGTTAAAGAAGGCCTTGTCCTCGCGGTCATGTTGTTGGATCACACAGTGCTCAGGCGTAAATGAACTTCTGTCATCTCGGAAAACTGTTTATTTCTCAGCGTTTTGCAAAGTAGTTTAATTTAAAAAGTTGCCTTGGTGAAGTTTTAAACAAACGATCCGTCGCAGCACGTGTTTGGGATCAGTCTCAACTACTACCACTCAATTTGAGCTCGATAGCTGTCAAAATGGCAGCGTTTTGTGTATTTTTGTGTTTGCTAATGTGGGTCAGCTGTGGCAGCCAAAAGTATTTCAGTTCTACATTTACGTCCAGTAGTTATTGTCTGAAATTTAGAGCTAAATCTGGGCTCAGGTTCTCGAGATATTTTGCTAACAGACACGGGCAGTTGCAGCACAATGGTCTGTCCTTCCTGGCAGCAAGTTATAAATATAAATTTAAGAGAGCTGTAATATTTTTGCTCTTTAGACACAATAAATGATGAATACAGTATTTTAGCTGATGAATACATTTAAAAATGGAGGTGAACTCTTACACTGAGAAGAAATATGTTTGTGTTTGTGCACTTAGGATTCGTGTTTTTCCTTTTTATGGAGCAAAATAAAGTTTAATGTCGTACTTTAATTTTATTCTAAGAGCTGTTAAAAGAACCAAACTCTTCAGTAAAAATCAGTCGGTTTGAAACGTTTCTTCTTGGCTCTGCTGAGGCTAACGGCCCGATCTTCATCCTCTCTGGTCCGATCAAACCTGAGTGGGGTCAAAGGTCACGAGGCCGCAGCAGGAAACTGGGACTGAGACGTTAATTAGCGACGACCTTCTCGCTGCAGGTTCTGGTCCTCCTCACTGCTCCGACGGAGCCTGGACCCCAGCAGCCTGACGGACGGTGTCGTTTGTTCCAGGATGAGCGAGACGCGTTTCTGTTGCAAAAGAACCGGTGACGCATGAAACGTACGGTAAACCAAACAATCGTATAATCATTCAAACTCCAGGAAACAATGTCAAAACTAAGAAATATAACGTAAAGATTCAAATAAACGCCGAGCAGGATAACGATAAAGACAGGCGTCATCATTCTGGAATCAGCCTGTTTGTGTTTTAAACCGCTGCATGCACCGAGGGAAATTAAAAAAAAAGTAAAATTCTTAATAAAATGGGGAAATATTTAACGTTTTTTCACTTTAACAGGAAAATGTTGCACTTATTATTGTTGCTGCCATAAAATCTGGGATTTAATTGAATTTTTAATTAGAGTAAAAGCCATAACTTAACAAAAATGCTCCAAGTTTATTAACTTAAGTTAAAAAAAAATAGTTGTAGTAATTTCAAAATACTTCATTACTGTGAACTATTTCTGTAGAAATACTGTTCTGAATTGTAAACAGGTAGTAAGCCAATAAAACAGACGTATTACCCAGAAGGATGAATACTTTTGTAAATGACTGATTCAAAAGATGAATTCAAGCTGCCAAGAATGTATTTACAGAAAGAGTTTGAGGGATTTTTATTGTAGTCAGTATCTTACCTGCAGTAGACAGTAGTCAAAATGGTCTCAGTTTGCAGAAGTTTTCACCCAACAGGCTAACAGGGTTAACAGCTGTTAAAACGATTATTTTAGTCAATAAATCAAACACTACGATGTAGATTTTTACTTTGTGTCACTTTTGCATGAATTATGTGACAAATGATCATTTTCCAACACAATTCACTCGAATCGCGTTTTAACATGACGTTTTAGTGGAAATAACTGACGATTTCTGTAATAAAAAAAACACTCTGTGATGAAATGGAGTGCTTTTTTTAAATAATAAAGCAACAACTTGAACTTTTCATTTATTCATTCAACCTTTATTTATACAAGTTAATCCCATTGAGCCTCAGGGACCCATTAATAAGAGAGACCTGTTTTTTTTTTTTAAACAAAGAGTGACGACAACAAAAGACAAATAGGAGGAGGCCCTTTGTCACTGCACGTAATGATGTCCTGAGAGCGCACGTTGTAGCTGCACTCACGCAGAGACATGTAGGAGGAGATGTTTGAAGGCAGCAGACCAAGAAGTGATTTAAAGATGAAGATGTACCAGTGGGAGAGTCTGCATGGAGCTAATGAAGACCAGTTAACCAGTGAATACTGGGTGCAACTTGTGTGATGTTTGTGAGATTTGACTTGTAGATGTCCGACATGTTCTCTTCTTCCATGTTCTCCAAACTGACATCTTGCTCCTGGTCCTCGGTGGAACAAACTGAACCAGGACTTTGGGTAAAGCTGGTTTGTGTTTTGCTTTTGCTCTTCACTTTGATACAACCAGAGTTGCAAAACGTCTCAAAAAGCATCTACGCGGCAGAGTCTGCGGTTCTACCTGTTGTTCTTCATGTTGTCCCTCATCATCTTCCAACACCTCCGTCAAGATGAGCTAACATCTGATGCCCCCCCGCCCCCCAACCCTACACAACGAGAACCACTCAGCCCCCACCAGCCTTCATTAGTTCTTATTAACAACGTAAGGTTGAGGGGAAGACATCGGCGCTGACGTCTGGGCTCTCAGTGACTGATTCAGGGGAACAATCAACACCGCGCGGTGGTGAGGCGGGCGCCAACGTGTCAGAAGACTTATCGACCGCGCTTTATCATCCCGGTACACACCATGACAGTCGGACCTTGCTTCTGTAAAGATGGCATCTGATTGTCGGATGCTATTATGAGAGCGCAGGATGAAGGATGAGCCGATGAAGAGGAGGAGGGTGCCGGTTTGATGCTCTTCACAAAACTTGATTTTTCTGGTTTGATTATAAAATTATTCATTATCCTTGAAAAACAACAAAAACAAGCTTGGAAACCCATAAACCACATTTTTCCATTTATTCATGTGTGTTGTGTCAAGTGA